GTGTGTACTCTTCTTTTTCTAATGGCGACAAGTGGATGCTGATGCGGGTTTCCTTGACAGTTTCAGAGTCTCCCAAGTTGATTATTTCTGTTTTGTCCAGATTGGAGGCTTGTTCTCAAAGTCTTCTACTTCTCCGACAATTTCCTCGGATATTGACATCTTCTTCTTCCGAATCACTATCTTTTTGTTGTGTCGTCTCATTACATGTCACGGTTGTTGGTTCATCGAGACAGGAAACAGTAATGCTGTATAGATAAAGATATGAGAGAAAAATGGTAATAATAAATATTGATTCATTGCAGCATAAAAGCGATTTTCAATAATTTAAACAATGTTTTCGGAATATTAGAAATATTATTTAAAACAAAATGCCAAAAAGGGAAATCATTTTTCTTAGAAAATAAACAAAACAATGTTGTTCAGCCTTTCTACCCCAGGACTCATCGGGCCCTTGATGGTCTAAGAGTCCAATTCTTGAGGAATGACCCTCTCTCCACAGCTCGAATGGTAGGGCCTTCTTGCTCCTCTTCCTCAAAAATTACACAACAGTCCATGTCCTTATCCTCCGAGAACAGATTCCTTAAGGCTGCCAGTGCTTCTACCTCCTCTGATCCCCATATGATGTCGGCCTATTGGAAGGTCTGACTCAAGTGCGGAATAGACTGCTCCAATGGATAGTACAGACCTCGCCATGGCGGTGACCAGTCGTTGTATTCTTGCCTGGTGTATTGATATCCCAGGCCAAAAGTAGTGTCATGATGTTTCGGCTGTATTGGCTTGGAAATGCCTTGAATATTTTTGCCAAGACCTTTGCCAGACTCATACCCTCCCCAGTTCATCAAGCTTGCTATCTTGCTATCCCACCACTTATCTTTGTTGATTACATTGACCCTCTCGATGTGATGATAAGTTTCTCCGCCTAGCTTTCTCCTATTCTTGACCATCGGAATAGTTTGACGGGTGTAAATAGGGTTGCTCCTGTCTCCATGGATAATCAACTCCTGATGGTTCCACTCAAACTTCACTGCCTGATGCAAAGTTGATGCAATAGACCCATCGGCGTGTATCCACGGTCGTCCCAACAGAAGATTGTAGGATGTAGATATGTTCAGCACCTGAAACTCGACATTAAACCACGTAGGCCCCATTTGCAGACAGAGATTAATTTCCCCGATGGTAGCTCTCTGAGACCCATCAAATGCCTTCGCATTCATGGTCCCTTCTTGTATCTCGTATAGGCCTTTGCCCAATCTCTTCAGTGTTGTGAATGGGCAACTATTGAGACTGGATCCTCCATCGATCAGGACCCTGGTAATGAAGTAGTCTTCGCATTGCACTGTGATATATAATGCCTTATTGTGACTCAAACCCTCAGGAGGCAACTCATCCTCGTGGAAAGTGATTTTGTGACTTTCCAATGCCCGTCCCACCATGTTAGCCATTTCTCCGCTTGTGATGTTATTGGCACATATGCTTTATCCAATACCTTCATCAGAGCGTTCCTGTGTGCTTCTGAATTCCGTAGCAGCGACAGGATAGATATTTGAGCAGGAGTCTTGTTCAGACGATCGATAACCGAATACTCCCTTGCTTTTACTTTCCTCCAGAGGTCATCTGGACCTATTTCAATAACGGGAGGTCTATTTACTGGACTCTCCCAAATGCTCGGGTGTATAGATCCTTCCAGTCCTAGTCATCCCTTGTGCAGCACCAGATTCTCCCATCTTGACTTTTCCTTTTCTTCTGGCTTCGGCCACATAATCCCATGGTACAGCCTCGGTGCTGAAAGGCGGTGTGGTTGATAATGTCACTATAAATGGTGTGGCTACTTTCACCTCAAATGGAATAGGTACAACTACAGGGAGTGCTACCTCAACTTCAAATGGGACTGATGTTGTTACCTCGACCTCCACTGGCGGCTGTACCTGCACTATAATAGGATTGAGTGTGACTGCGGGTTTCTTGGGGTCGTCACCCTCTTTGATAAGTCCGATTGATCCCTCCGGATCCCATTCTTCATCCATCTCTATCACATTGACACCTTCACCCCTGTGATCTGGGAAGGGGTTATCGCGGACATTAGGCGTAGCCTCCTTTTCCTGGATGACCTTGTTGCTGGATTTTGTCCTTCAATGTGCGGCATTCGTCGATTATGTGCCCTTTCATTCCAGAATGGTATGCACAAGTCTTATTTGGGTTAACCCATTGGGATGAGTTCTCCGTGGCTAGAGCAGGGATGGGAGTGACGTAACCAACAACCTTCAATCTTTCATATGGCTGGTCGATGAGTTCAACAATGGCAGTGTATTGTTTGACTGGTCTGCGGTCAAAATTAGGTTGCGGTCTTGGGTAGTTTTGACGAGTTGGAGGTGAATAGAAATGAGATGGTTGGGAATTATAGGTGTGATAGGCAGTGGCTGGTTGGGAATATCTGGGGGATGAGGGTTGATATGTAGGTGGAGGTGACGGTTGATATGTGGGTGGAGGCGCTTGATATGTGGGTAGTGGTGCTTGATACGCAAGTGGAGAAGTTCGGTATACGAATGGAGTTTTGGGTCCTTGGGCGACCATTACTGCTCTCACGTCCTTCTTCTTAGATATACCACCTGATTGCAATGCTTTATTAGTGGCCTGCAATGCCTCAAAGTTTGTTACCATCCCGCTCTTGATTCCTTCTTCAATCCTTTCACCAAGTTTGATGATATCAGAGAACTTATGGTTTTCAATAACCATCAACCTTTCATAGTACTGCGGATCCTGTGCTCTAAAAAAGAACTTGTTCATCTGTTTCTCGTCCAATGCTGGCCTGACTTTCGCTGCTTCTGACCTCCAATGAGAAGCATACTCGCGGAAATTCTCGGTGGGCTTCTTCTTGAGGTTCTGAATGTAGAAGACATCTGGTGCATTCTCTGTGTTGAACCTGAATCGGACCATGAAATCAGACACCATACTCACCTAGTTGGACCATTTTTTCAGATCCTGGCTGATGTACCAAGACAAGGCATCTCCCGTAAGACTCCTCATAAAAAGCTTCATCCGGATCTTTTCATCTTTTATGACCCCGACAAGCTTGTCACATTAGGTCCTTAGATGAACCCTGGGATCACCTGTACCATCAACCATCTCGAACTTGGGAGGTTTGTAACCTTTTGGCAGTTCTACATCCGGCTGTATGCATAGGTCTTCATAGTTCAGACCTTCTATCCCTTTGCCTCCTTCTATGCCTTGAACTCGGATGGTCAATTTCTTAAGCTCCTCGGCCAGGTTCTTAATGAGCATGTCCTTCTCAACATATTCTGGTGCATAGGAGATGGGTTGAGTGGAGTGAGGTAAGGTCTCCACATATATAGGGTTGTTTTGGTGACCTGGAGTTTGAGTATAGTGGTGATCATTGGTGGAATTCTAGGGTTCGGGAATGACTGGTGGAGTATTTTGTGGAGTATAGTAGGTGTTTGGCTGGTGCTATGGTGGGATAGTTTGATTTTGTGGTGGAGTTGTATAATGGTGAGGTACGAGAGGATTTTGTGGGCGCTTGTTGGGTGTGTTTTGACGTGGTGCGGGGTTCTGGGTGTTTGGATGACTGATGTCTGGGACGCTAAGTGGGAAGGATAGGTTTGCCACATTCCGGACATGCTCAAGCTCACCCTGGAGTTCCAGTATTTTCTGTTCGAGCCGAGAAACCCTAATCATTTGGGGCCTGAGTACCCCGACCATCAGAAGTTTCTGCATGTTCAACCTGCTTGTTGTTTTCCTTTCTAGTGCCATTCAAATCTTCCATTTTTGCTTTTCCCTTGCCTTTTGGTGGACTAGGAGGAGGAGAAGGTGGAGGGCCCCTAGATCTTGTGTGATAAGCTGATGATGCCAGTATGAACGAACCAACCTTTTGGGGATGGGAATAATCAAAAGAAAGAAAGAAAAACAAAAGGTAGCCAAGTCAGTGATAGTTCTGAAAAGTTTGCAATATTTAAACATATATTGCGGGAATATAAATTCGCGTCCTAATTTGGGAGCCCCGTTGTGCCTGAGGTAGACCTAGCGACAAATAGATTTGGAGAATTTTAGTGCCAATAATTGCCTCATTTCATTAATGTGAAAAATAGACGCCCCAAAATGATACTAAATAAGATAATGTCACTAATGGCACTTGGACTTATTATATTTAGAAAGCAAGTAAACCTAATCTATTTGGTCCCAGAAAGACCCTCTCCAGACTGGATGCTCTTGTCGATCAATTCCCCCAGTTCGCGTAGGTTCAGCAGTAAGAATGCCCTTGCTATATGCCCTCCTTCGTTTCCCTCAACGTTCTGGCAATAGGTGACTCTCTTCCTCATCTTTCCCTCTAATTCCATTATGCTGTACTCCAGATACTCCAACCTTTCGGTTGACTTAACAACCATCTCATTCCACTCATTGATCATTTCCATGTCGACTTTGTGTTGCTCCATGTGCTCGGCTTCAAACTCGCGAACTCTTTTGCGCAATTTGTTATATTTCACCTGTGCTTTGGCGACTTCATCTATGACCATGTTCCCCGGACCAACTCTTGGCTCGAATACTCCCCCTATGTTATCATCCAACCATGAGGGTAGAAGTATGCATGACCAGCATGGTATCGATCCGGCTCAATAGTATCCTTTTCTATGATAATCTTCAAGTGCCACATGTGTTGTGCTTCATTTTTGTATGCAATGGCATCACCCTGAAAATCGGCTATGAAGTGACTCATTTTAGCAACCCGTGGTACAACCTGCTTCCTGCCTGCTTGTCTCATAACCCTGAGGGGAGCATAAGGGTATATGCCCCTTAACCCAATCAGTACCTAGTGGGGAACATCCTTGGATCTGATGATCAGCTCATTGGTAGGGAACCACTCGAACATCCATGGAACCTGATCCTCAGTCAGATTGTTGAAAAACTACACCCATCCTATAACGTCCTTCGGTTGAGCAAACATGTCTGTAATATATGACATTTTCTTGGGATGATTGAAGGCTATATGATCATTCCACGGCCTTCGTGGAAACTCCTGACGGTATTTGCCCCTTTGGAGTTGTTCTAACAACCAAACCTGTAACAACAAATTGCAACCCTCGAAGTATCTGTACCCTTTCTGACAGCACTTCAAGGCCCGGTACATATCTGCAATGATCATAGGGACTCAAAGTTTTAGCCACCATGGCCAGCCTGGTGTGGATTCTGTCCCCTTGGATCGGGAACACTAGCATGCCCAAGAAACACACGATGAACACACAAAGACCCTGCGGTGAATCCACCCCAAGGAGGTGATGGAGAATTCATCATCGAAGATACGGTCAGACCTGCTGTGACCGTACCGCTCATAGAGGAAGTCGAAAGGTATATAAGAGTTTTTCAGGCACTCCAAGTCATCATTCTTATTTAACCACATCATCTTCAAAAATCCCCTAGTGGTGCGATTTTCTGTTGCCAATAAACCAGGGCTATCCCAAGGTAGCCCGGCAAATCCCCCTATTTCTTCCAAAAGAGGGGTCATTTCTATGTTTCCAAAGTGGAACACAGCCCTTTCTTTGTCCAAGAACATGGTGTCAGCCTCGATTAACATTTTGTTTGGCTGAAGGTCTAACAAAGAAGGCAGATTTCCTAAGACCCTTTTCACATGAATTTGGTCACTTGAAGGAAGATCCCTCCACCAATCTAGGAAAAGTGAGGGTATGCTACTGACCATGCCGAACCTGGGGACTTCGTGCCTCATATTCAACAAAACAAAAGATGGTTAGACCTTTCCCCCTCCAGGTTCGTATATTTATACAACAATGATTAGCATATTGGCACTTACTTCTCCAAATTAATGCACATAATCATGGTTGCGTCCATTAGGATTATGAAAAACCCGATGGACTTTTAGGCGAGGCTTGTCTTAAAGGGTTATTATGCGGACAACAAATTAACCCGGCTAGGTTTGACCATGATGAAATCCACAATTGATCAGAGTAAGGTTGCCATAGAGGTCTAGACTAGGACCCTCAAGCGAAAAACTTGAAGGGGAAAGGCACGGAACCGTCGAACGCACCGCTGATCGACAAGTTTTACCGCAAATACGTCTTTCCGAATTTAAAAGGGTAATATATAGGAAGAGAGCAAACACTCATCAAGAGTTGCTATAGGATTGATTACGCACGAGTGGGATATGATGTTGAGCATAATTTATGCAACAATAAATAGCATGTTGTCAAGTATTTGCACATTTAAAAATGATAAATGCGGTATTTAAATAATTGAAAGACAGTTAAAAAAAGAAAACAAGGAGACAAGTCAGTTTCAGGAAATAAAAGAAATCATAAATGCTTGAGAAATGAGCAATTTAATCCAAATAAAGGGGAAGGGAAAGAGTGCACATGTATTAACAGAATGATTCATGCTTAAGACTAATTCACAAAAACAAGTTTGTTATGGTAAGAGCCTAAAATATCCCCAGCAGAGTCGCCATGCTGTCGCGCCCCCTTTTTCCTCGCAGAGTCCGGTTTCGACATTTTGGGACAACTCCTTTTCCTTTTGGGAATTGGGTATGGAATTTGAAGAGTCACCACCTAACGGATTTAAGGTGCGTTAGGGCACCTAAAGCAAATAACTCATAACCGGATTGCATTACTGAGATAGGGTAAGGGCTCAAAATAACCTTGAGGGAAAGGTGTTAGGCACCCCTCGAGGTCCACAAATGTGGGTCCCCACCAAACTCATTTTTTGTGAATTAGTCATTTAAGAAACAAAGCACATAAATACTTAATGTTTATTCAAATGGGAATAGAAGGGTTTGTTAGCCTATAGGATCACATCTGTACAAAGGCTTGGTAATCGTCCCCAAGTTGGAGTGCTACACGTAGCATTAGCGCACATGTCATCATATCCTTTACTACTCAATTACCCTCCCCTTGGTCATAGTCTAAAGCGTCCTAGCAACCTTAAGATGCATCCTATGCGTGCACTACCTGTCCCTTTACTTATATAGTCCCGGAGGTATTTAGCACTTCTAGTTAGGGTGGATCTAGACTCTCCTATAGTAATTAAAAGGAGAAAACTCTAGGCGACAAACAAAACACTTAGGACTATACCAAGGAATGAACAGTTAAAAGGCTCACATTTTACCTCCACAAATAGAGCAAACAAGTGCACGTCTCAAACAACAGTGTTTCAGATACCTTTAAAGGAGTTCTAACAACAGGATATCTAGGTGAGCACAAATAAGAACATATGCAACATTGTGTTAATGCGAGGCAATAAAGACCTAATAAATTTGCTTACTGATTTTAAGACCTGTCGAATCTGGGCAGTTCATAAATAACGAAAGCGTAGTTTTATAGTTTGCAAGGTTTTAATCGCCCTACTGGCTTGCCTAGGCGTGTAACAGCGATGTTCTGTAAGGCAAGGTGGTTCAACGTTGCAAATAAGGAAAGAAAATCAATCAAACAATCGATCAAGCTTGACAAGGCGGAAGATTAGGGAGTTATACCCAAAATATAACTCGGATTGAGTTTCAAATAAGGCAAGAAGTGAATCTGACAGCCAATTATGGTCATATCACCATAAATCAAGCAATTAACCATACAAATAAGGCAACATAAGTAATTAGAGACCAATCTGGGGTCAAACACCCCTAATTTAAGCTTAACAGGCAAGGAATGTCAATTAAGAATCTCAGAATTAAGGAAAGCAGGCAAAATACGGTAAATCATCTCAGTAAAACATGAAACCTTAGACGGTTGGGTCAGTCAATCAACTATTCAAAAAATAACGGGAAAAATGTTGAAGCCAACAACGAACAGTCAAACAATCAAGTCTAGAACATAGTCATTACAGAAAGATTAAACAAAAACATGAGAAATTTCAGAAAACCCTTTGCAAAAAATAGACGAAGCAGAAACCCAAATTTTGAAAAATACTTAGAGTTGATTAACAGTAGGGAATCAGAAAATTCCTAAGGAAAATGGTCATGGAAACTTGCAAACACTTCAGATACACAGAGATTCGACCAACAAATAACAAGGAAACCAAAATGCTAAAGTAACACAGTGCTAAAAATGGATTAATCAGTAAAGAAAATAAGGGAACCTTAAGGAAAAATTAGCAATGAACTCAGAATCGCTCCAGATCTACAAGGATCTGGATAGATTCAAGTCCAAACATTAGGGTTTTGAAGAAAAAGGAAAGGGTAAAGAGAATTTGGTCTTGAATCAGAGATTTGAGCCGTGAAACTTCGATAGAAAGCACTCACAGACCATAGACGGACTCTTAGAGAGTTTTGAACAAGATGTGGACTAGATCTCTTCGAGATCTTTCCATGAAATCACAAAATCGAGCAACCAGGGGAAGTAGGAGGCAAGTAGGGGTCTCAAACACCCATGGAAATCCATGGGTCGAGTGAGAATCAGAGGGATTATGGCTGGTTTTGGGTGGTGGCGTCTAGGGTTAGGGTTGGGTCTCAGAGAGAGACGCAGAGGAGAGGAGTTTTAGGGCGGCTGTTGGTGAAAAATGACTAGGTTAGGGGTGGTCGTTTGAGTTAAAAATGGTAAGAATGAATAGGGGCCGTTGATCTCAAACATCAACGGCCAGGATGAGAAGGGGCTTGGGTCGAGTAGGTTTTTAATTGGGTTAGGGTCGTTTGAATTGGGCTTGGGTCAATTAAGTTGAATTGGGGAGGGTTCGATTTTGGGTGTAAAATTAGGGGCTGTTATTTAAATACCCATTTTACTAAATAAAATAATTTTAAAAATAGATAATAAATGATAAAAAATGATTTTCAAGCATGAAGGCGATCTAAAATAATTATTCAACATTATAAAAATATGAAAAGTCATTTTCTATATAGATAATGTAGTTATACATATAGGGTGCTATTTTTGCAAAATATGTAATTATAGTCTTAAACATGCAAATATAACTATAAAAAATGCAATTAAAGTATTTGAACACTCATATGAACATAAATGATGTAGAAAAAATTGTAAAACACTTGTGCATGTTTGTAGTTGTATGCACAATATTTTGAAAGTATACATACGAATTTTAAAAATATATGAGGGAAAAATTGGGTATCAACAGATATGAAATAAATACATATTCTGTTTGAAAGGTATATAAACAGAGTTTTATAAATCTAAGGCTACCATGAACAAGAGGCAGCTACAACAGGGACATAGATATACCTTCAAATCCAGCTCCGATCGAACACAACAACAACAACAGCCAACTTCTACACGCAATGTGCAGAAGTGTACTATGAGTACAACCGACCCCATGTACTCAATAACTAACAAACCTAAACTTCGGTTGAAAGTAGTGATGAGCTGGAACATGGCCGGGTCCAACACCTATAGCCAACAATAATTCATAACAAAGCAGAGCATATAAATATGGGGGCAACTGAGATATGAAATGCACAACGTTTTCACAATTTTTCCGCAAATAGTTTGGCTTTTCAAGAATATCAGTGAAAACCCAAACCTTTTACCGAAATCGTTGAAAAATATGACATAGTTTGAAAACTATAATTTTTTCCAAAAAATTCTTTCCACAATAAATAAGGTGTTTCATTTTTTTTCCAGATAGCAAGTGTGAAATACCTCTCTATGCCCACATATCAATGTGTGTAAAAGTCATGAATGACGTAATATCGTACAACATGAGGAAAAATGCATCTCTATGCCTGTATGTCATGTTTGCATGCCAATGCCATGTATCTCAGAGATGAATCATGTACTCACATTCTCAGAGTACTCAATCTCACTGTCTCACACTTTCCACTCATTAGGCTCAACCACTCGGTACTGAATATGGCCCATACGTCACACGGAAAATCCATCCCGGAATATATACATCACCGACCATCAGTCACTCAGTATCGAGGAAAACCAATCCGGTCCCATGGAGAAGATCCATCTCCAGGTATATAAATTCTTCGGACAAGATCGATGTTCAAGAAAGATCCATCCCTCAATATAATCAACTGCGCTCACTGGGGGTGTGTATAGACTCCGGAGGGGCTCCTACAGCCCAAGCGCTATAATCTGCACGAACAACTCACGTGCCACAATATCAATATCAGAATCCTCATGTACAACTCACGTGCTGCACGGATAACTTACGTGCAAAAGTATCAATATAAGAATCCGCACGGACAACTCACGTGCTATAGTATCAATATCCTCACAATCAGGCACTCGATCTCACTCAGTCATCAATCTCTCTAGTCTCTCTCTTACTCAGGCTCACAATGATATAAAACTAGCCCGAAAATGATGATATGATGAATAAATAAATAACAACAGAGACTATATAAAGCAATGAAAAAAGAACACAACAGCAGAAATGACCTCAGTGGGTCGCAACAGGATAAACATGTAGCCTATACATGGTGTCTAACATGGATCACAGCTCAATAGCTCAAGCGCGTAGAAATTTCATGATTACAGGTCAGATCAAAGTCACTTCTCGCACTTCGTCCATGGAATCACAAGTCGTCGATGCACAGCTGATACCGGGCGCTCATGTGTGCATACGAATGCGAGGAAGGAATTCATAGAGTTACGCTTCACGCTGAATCAATGTCGCACAACAAGGAAGGAAAGATGGGATGTATATCCTAAATGTCCTATAGCCTCTCGAAGATAGGTATGGACGTCAACATACAGATCCGCAAGACTCTACTAGATACTTGCTCATGACTTGTGGAACCTATGAACCTAGAGCTCTGATACCAATCTGTCACGACCCAAAATCCACTACTCGTGACGGAACCTAACCCAACCCGCTAGGTAAGCTAACTAATAACTATCCAATTTCAATAATATTTAACAGGACAATTAATCGAGAAATTATCTGAGTCTTATACATTCCCCAAGGACTTGTAGTACAAATCATGAGCTTCTAAGGATAGAGCTAACAAAGCTAATATAAAATAAATACATCCTGTGTTTGAAAGGTACATAAACAGAGTTTTATAAATCTAAGGCTACCATGAACAAGAGGTAACTACAACGGGGACGCAGGTACACCTTCAAATCCATCTCCCATTGAACATAGCAACAATAGCAGCCAACATCTGCACACAATGTGCAGAACTATAGTATGATTACAACCGACCCCGTGTATTCAATAAGTAACAAACCTAAACTAAGGTCGAAAGTAGTGACGAGCTAGAACATCGTCGGGCCCAACACCACTAGCCAACAACAATTCATAACAACCCAGAGCATATAAATAAGGAAGTAACTCAGATATATGAAATGCTCAGCTTTTTCACAAATTTTACGAAAATAGTTTCGCTTTTCAAGAATATCAGCGAAAACCCAAATCCTTTGCCGAAGTCGTCGAATAATATGAGATAGTTTGAAAACTGTAATTTTTTCAAAAAATCCTTTTCACAATAAATAAGATGTTTCATTTTCTTTCCAGATAGAAAGTGTGAAATACCTCTCTATGCCCACATATCAATGTGTGCAAAAAGTCATGAATGTCGTGATACCGTACATCATGAAGAAAAATGCATCTCTATGCCTGTATGTCATGTATCTAAAAGATGAATCATGTACTCACACTCTCAGAGTAATTGATCTCAGTGTCCCACACTTTCAACTCATCACGATCAACAACTCGGTACTGTATATGGCCCATACGGCCCAGGAAAAATCCATCCCGGTATATATACATCACTAACCATCAGTCACTCAGTACCAAGTAAGGCCAATCTGGCCCCATGGAGAAGAATCATCTCCAGTTATATAAATGCTTCGGACAAGATCCATGTCCAGGAAAGATCCATCCCTCAATATAATCACCCGCGCTTATTGGGGGTGTGTACAGACTCCGGAGGGGCTCCTATAACCCAAACGCTATAATCTATACGCACAACTCACGTGACATAGTATAAATATCATAATCCGCACGAACAACTCACGTGCTAAAGTATCGATATCAGAATCCGCACGGACAACTCACGTGCTATAGTATCAATATCCTCACAATCAGGCCCTCGGCCTCACTCAGTCATCAATCTCTCCAGTCTCTCTCTGTCAGGCTCACAATGACATGAAATTAGCCCGAAAATGATGATATGACGAATCAATAAATAACAACAGAGAGTGAGATATGATATGCATAAGAATGCATATGACTGAGTATATAAAGCAATGAAAGCAAAAAACTCAATAGCAGAAATGACCTCAGTGGGTCCCAACAGGATAAACATCTAGCCTAGATATGGTGTATAACATGGATCACAGCTCAAAAGCTCAAGAACGTAGAAATTTCATGATTACAGGTAAGATCACGTAACTACATAGTACCAAACAAATAATGGAGACACAATTCACACGGTGCACGCCTACACGCCCGTCACCTAGCATGTGCGACACCTCAACACCAATCACATATCACGTAATTCGGGGTTTCAAACTCTCAGCACTAACTTTAGAAGAGTTACTTACAAGCCAATTCCAATAACGAGCAAGCCAAGCGATGATCCACAAATTCCATCACGTGCGTAGCGACCTCCGAACGGCTCAGAACTAGCAAAAAGCAACTCAAATACATCAAATAAAGCACAAGGGAACAATTTCAAATGATAAAGATCAAATCCTTAACTAAAAACCCAAAATCGGCCCAAAATAACAGCCGAGCCCACGCCCCGAAACCCGATAAAACTCACAAAATCCGACAACCCATTCAATTACGAGTCCAACCATACTAGTTTCACTCAATTCCAACTCTAAATCGATGTTCAAAACTCAAAAATTTATATTATGAAACTTTAGGCCAAAACCCCCAATTTCCTCTTTAAACAACCAAAAGCTAAAATCGAAGATAGATTTATGGAATATAACCAAAACCGAGTAGAGAACACTTACCCCAATTCATATGATGAAAATTGCTTCAAGAATCGCCTCAATCCGTGCTCCATAGCTCCAAAAATGTAAAAATGGCCGAAACCCTCGAACTTATAACATTCTGCCCAGCGATTCCGCATCTTCGACCTTCTCTTTTGCGAAAAATGCTCGCATTTGCAAGACAGCCTCAGCCCTCCAGTGTTCGCTTATGCGATGCACAGTACCGCATCTGCGCAATTCGTTCCGCATTTGAGGACTCCCACCCAACAGTGCATTGTCGCACCTGCGCACCTGGTTCGCTTCTGCGGCCATCGCACCTGCGCAAAACCAGCCACAGGTGCGATCACACCAGAACAAGCAGCCACTAGCCTTAGCCAAAATTTCCAAAATGCTCCGAACCTCGCCCGAAACTCACCCGAGCCACTCGGGACCTCGTCTAAATATTCCAACAAGTCCCATAAGATAATACCGACCTACTCAAGGCCTCAAAACACACATAACAACGTCAAAACGACAAATCACACCTCAATTCGAAATCAATGAACTTTGAAACGTCAAACTTCCACAACTGATGCCGAAACCTATCAAATCACGTCCGATCGATCTCAAGTTTTGCACACAAGTCATATTTGACATTACGGACCTACTCCAACTTTCAGAATCGAAATCCAACCTCGATATCCAAAAAGTCCACTCCCGGTCAAACTTTTCAAAATTTCAACTTTCGTCGTTTCAAGCCAAATTACGGACCTCCAAATCACAATCCGGACGCGCACTTAAGTCCAAAATCATCCAATGGAGCTAACGGAACCATCAGAAATCCAAACCGAGGTCAAATACTAAAAAGTCAAACTTGGTCAAACCTTTCAAATTTAAAGCTTCTAGCACAGAGAATCATTCTTCCAAATCAATTTTCGAATAACCTGTAAACCAAAACCAACGATTCATATACGTCATAATACATCATACGAAGCTACTCATGCCCTCAAACAATCGAGCGAAGTGCAAATGCTCAAAATAACCAATCGGGTCGTTACAATAAGCTTAGCCAAACACCCTCCTTGCTCCGTTAAGTAGTTTATATAATAGCATTTGATTGATGTACCCACATAAGACATCTACAGTTTGTAGTTGGGTTTGAGAATGATGTCCAAGGCTTTTCTTCTTTAATTTGTTCTCTTTGGTGCTCCAGTTGTTTCCATCTATTTGCCAATGGAAGATGATTTTTTTTCCTTACGTGATTTAGTTTTTCTTTGTAGTGCATTAATTTGTTTTTTAAATGTTCAAAGATTTAAAGTTTTATGTCCATGTTTGTATACTATTTGGAATATCTAATATTTTAAATATTCTGAGCTAGAGCAATACAGCATATTCCGCATAAATTGACAAGGGATTTATATGCCGGTATAATTAATCGGGAAAAAGGATTATAGGTCAACTCTCAAAACAATTATGTGCCATATAGGTAAATTTTCGTCGTTATATTCATCATCTTACAACTTTAGTTTAGTCTGTTTTTAGTTATACTAGTTTTAGTGTACGCACGTTGCGCGTGTTCCCATTCTTAGTAAGTAATTTTTGCTAAGAAAATTACATGTATATTTTTAGATTATTTTTAAATTATAAAATAAAGTATAAGCTTTTGAAATTAATAAAATATTAATCCTATATAGCTAACTCAATAAAGAAAAATTTTTGTTCCTCAATATTATTCAATATATTTACCTTAAATTTTGTTCTAATTTTTTAGTTTTATCGGTTCAATTTTACCAGTTTTCTATACATCCTTTTTAGTTTCAGTAAAAACACATAGCCTTGATGATTTAAAACTTTTTCTAAAAATATTATTCAAAAGCTATTCTCAAGTTTATGCGAGAAGGCACAAACATGTTTAATTAGCACTTTTATTATGATTCTTTAAAAAAATTCGTATAACATAAATTAAAAAATTGAATTTCATGTCTTCTCAATTTATCTCCTTTCAAAGGTTTCAATGTTACTCAAGTAGTAAGGTTTTAGTAGCTGAGATAACAAAAAAATTATGATTTACATAATTTTGTCGAAACGCGTGTGACAAAGAAAGCATTAATAAAACATAAAAGTTTAATAGGACGAACAAATTACTATGAAAAGTTATTGAAATTCACTGCGTGTGTATGTACATATTAACTTAGATATTTTATTTTTAATATATAATTCATCTTAAAGTTCTAAATATTTATACTTCATATATACTTTAAATAAAAAGATTCAATAAGTATAAATTTAATTGATTTTAAAATCCTTATTTACTAAAATATTTAAATTATATTTCTATTCAATATAAATTTATTTTTATAGAATAAAAAGTCAATCAACATTTCCTGTAGAGGTTTTGTGCTTTAATAATTTAGATTTAGGCTTTTACGATGTATTATGATTAGATATGCTATCAAATAATTATTTTGATTGTTTCATTGAATATGGTTTTATTATATTATATGACTAAAATAAGAATTTTTAAAATGCACATTTGATTGTTCCATGCTAAAACAACTTAATGTTGACGCTATTGTATTTAAGAAGTTTAATTTAATATGTGATTTCATGTCGTCATACTTTCATTAATTAGAAATCAATTCAAAGCACCGAATAAAATGTTCTCATCTATTTTTAATTAGTATAATATATATAAGGTAAAATATTTATGTATTTTTTTCTTACCTAGTTTAATAAGGAAAGATTTAATATGCTAAGTTTTAATTGATTTCAATGTCCTAGATATTAGGAAAGCACTTGAATTACAATTTTATCCATTATGAAAGGTATTTTAAAAGGGTAAAAAAGACGAACGACATTTCGCTAAGGGCCTTCGTGCTTTTAATATAGTATAGATTCGTCAGTGTTTTTATGTATTTGTTTTTTTTTCTATTTGTTTTTTGATATGCTCAAATTATTGTTTGTTTAGTTAATACTAGTATACGTACCCGCGCGATGCGCGGATTGTTATAGTAGAAATGATATAGTAGAAACAGGTCTTTATTGTAGATTAAATTTAGCGATCACATTCAAAAGAATTAAATCAAAAAACAAATATATGAATTTCATAGGATTGTATCTATGCTAGGGACCACCAATATTTATGCACAGAAACATGATTAGCAGAGAAGGTTGGGTAACTGTAATAAGCCAAAAGCCAAAGTAGATTTCCCAAAATTCACTTCCAGTTCATATACACATTGTCCATAGTTGCAGGGAAAATAAAATAATGACACAATCTCAACCAATAATCAAACATATATTCATAGTAGATACCATAATAACCTATAGTTCTGTTATAATCAATTTTCGATAAACACCAAATTCAAGAGAACATACGTGCGACAGAAGGCATCATTGTTTAATTTTTGTTATTAATTACAACATTTCTAAACTAAATTAGCAATTTTTGTGTAAATTTGGATTGCTTACCTGTTACAACATACTGGAGTAATGCTACAGAAATACTCGGCTTTAAAAAGGATTAGTTCACCTGAAAAAGCAGAAATTTTTGTTTTTAAGTTATGATCAGAAAAAACAAAGAACAATTATACATATGTCTAATTCAGAGTAATTAAGATATCGCCTTTTTATTGTGGTGTATTTTGGACCAAAAGTGTATGAGAACATGAGCAAGTCGGTCATGTTGGTTGATGATATACACGGCGACTCACATGGATTACTAAGATCTTGGAAATACCCAATCCTTGTTAGCATAATCTATATAACAGTTTTAAGTCTTAGATGTAATGCATACATTAAAAACATTAATTCTCATCAAGATTTTAGGTCACTTACAGACACAGCAGTGATGTTGTTGTTCCAATCGAAAACACCTTCATCAGAAGCTACATGTTCCTTTACAGCCAAGGCAAGGTTCTTTGTTGCATACTTAGGGTAACTTTTCTTACCTATAGAAACAAATGTATGTTGCAGACTATTAGATTAAATAATAAGTAGAACATTTGGTACTCTTAGTGAAATAAAAGAATATGAAATATTAGAAGATTTTACGAAGAATATGTTGCCTTTATTGCTCCAGGTGAATTCACCCCAACCACACATATATAGTTGCATAAAATATGAAAAGACTTATTACAACCATCCTAACGAATACTGATGTTGAAAGTCCACCAACACGAACAACTATCTACATCAGAAACATCTCAAGTGAATTTATATAACAAAAGACGTTAGTATTGCTCCTGTTGACATTATTTTGAGAAGTAAAAAAAGAACCCGCAAAGCCTCTCGAGCAGACCGTGTTGCTACACTTGATACTTGAACATTAGCACATAATGACACCCATATGCCAATGTGCTGAGCAATACCAGAACATTAAGCCCTGGAAAGAAAAGTAGAAACAATGATATAAGGTTTATTGTCTGTATTTTTGTTTGTTGCAGGAAAATCAAGAAGAAGGAAAAATCCTTAGGTTTGTTTAGACTGCATCTGATACACTGCATCTGATACAGGGGAATTACCGCATTCTTAAGAAATCAAGCAATCAACAAAGACATTCTCAAGGCTTCACCTCTAATCAATAGTTTAATGTAAAAATAAATTGCATAAATTATCGACTTCCTTGTGGATAAAATCATCAATAAGCTCTCTGGAGAATTAATAAATCAGTAGCTCAACTCCGTCATCCTCTTCTTACGGATAAAACTCGCTAATGGTTGTTCCATCTATTGATAATCTCTAAACAAAATGAGCATCAAGTGCTAATACCGCACTTTGAATAGTCAATAGAGAGAATATGTATAAAATAATATAACCTGCAACAAAAAATGTGAAATAATTAAAAACTCATTCAAGTACTTTTTTATTAAAAAATAAGCTTTACTCACGCCAATTCTTTTCCGTCATCCTTGATAAATGCACTTTCTCAAAGAATAGACTTTTTTTAATCCATTGAAACTAATTAAAGTAAATAAACAAAATGCGTATTGCATCATTTGTCATATTTTTCAATATTATTCAAAGCTTCCCCTTGTGTACACAACTATATTATTTCGCTAGTTTTTAACATATGTATCTTAAGATGGCCCTCTAGCAAGTACTGATGAGTCCTGCAATTATCTATTAGATTACTGCAGACCACAAGATAAATCACGACCAGGAACAAACTTCAAAGAAACCAGAATATGACTACCACTTGCTATGTTGGATCTAGACACATTGAATAATCTCTGTATCCATTCAAAATAATTGTTTTGAGCTTTTCCACTCATAGTATCTTATGATAGATTTGGTTGTAAATTGTGGCCATATGTACAAGTGCTAGAGCACGATGACTTATGCTCCCCGAAGCTTTAAGGTTTCATCCACTTGAATTTACATAGCTCTAAGACTCCATATATCAAGCATTTGAATCTGGAGATGTAAGTAGTACTTTTGGTGAAACCTTAGGTTAATAATATAAGCACAGATATTTTTCATGGCTTTTCTCGACACATTTCTTATTTTCGACTGTTGATCATTAACAATATCTTCTATTGCAGGCCAATATCTGATGTTTCTAGTGATCTTACAATAAAAGTCGGACCAACCAGTTTTGCTCCTCACAAGGTACAAAGATGAAGTATTAGATGTTTCTTCTTCTCATGTAATTTGATCTATTAATATCTTCTTAATCATTGGAGTGCTCAAGTCTAGCAAAAGTAGAAGTTGTGGGAGAAATGGATAGGCATAGGCAAACGTATTTAAAATATGTATAGTCAAGCCACAGAGAAATAGAATGGTACATTTATGAAAACTGGAAACTCTAATTAGAAAGGATAAGAGAATGTTAAAATTAAAACCGCTTTCAATTATTTACTGGTCAAATTTACTTTTAAACAACAATACAAGTTGACTTAGATGCAAGAACAGAAGAGATTATGAGGTTCTATTCAATGCTTACTTGTTCTGATACAAGTGGATTGTAAAGCTTCTGCTCTAAAGCCTTGGAATTCCATTCTATACTAAATTCTAATGCTATGTCTTGCATCAACTGAGCTTCATCTCATTTGTAGCTACTGAGTTTAAGTTTTGAACAAACTTTCAAGAAAGAAAATTTGTTATGTTTTTCAGAGCTAGAGGGAAAAACTAAAGTTGAAAGATGACTGAGTACCTCTTTATTGACATAACATTCAAGAGAATTTTCATATATCTCAGTAAATACACTTCTTAGTTGGCATAATTCTGGCACGTCGGCGAGTCTTGCTGCTGCAAAAATCAAAGATGATACAACTTCTCTGCACTCCTCGGGACATTTCCTGTGAAGAAAAATTACCCAGAATGAACTAACATGGGGTAAATCATCTTGTATTGAGAAGGGAGAAAAAGTAGTCAAAATCCGTTATGAAAATTTTCTGCACAGCCTTTGTGTAAAGCAACAGTTGTTGTAACTAAATCTTATATTGAAAAAAAATAAAGGTAGTCGAAATCAGTTATGAAATTTTTTCACACAACCTTTGTATAAAGCAATAGTCTTTGTAGCTTAATCTTCTATGTATGTGATGAAAACATGCCTGAGCAGAACAACATCAAAAAAAGAACTCATGCTTTTCAATATATGCAGTGAAGTCCACCTTCTATAATAAAACCAAACATCAGTTCCTCCCAAATATTTAACGGTAAAATTAAATTTATCATAAAAAAATTGGTAAAAATTAAATTTAAGTCACTATGAGCTTATATAGTTACCTTCTTAATTTTAACATAACTTTTCCGCAATACTGAGGCTTGAGAATTCGATTGTCCAGGATGGGAATTGGTCTTGTAATATTGTATGTATCTGAAATAGAAACTCATTTGCTCGAACAGCTAGAGCTTAAAAATTGTAACAATAGTGAATTGTATAAATTTTGGTTATACACATAATAGGTTTGTAACGATCCGACCGGTCGTTTTGGGTCCTAGCGCTCCGTTCAGCAGTCGGAGGCCATGAACAGCTTCATTTCAGGTATTACGACTTGTACGCGCGGTCGAAATTGAATTTCGGGAAATCCGGAGTGGATTTGGGAAGAGAATTCTTATTTCAGGAGCCTAAAGTTGAAAGAATAAACTAGGATGGGAATTTTGAGCAAACGACCTCGGAATCAGGATCGGAAAGTTCCAGCAGGTTCGTATGATGATTTCGGACTTGGGCGTATGCCCGGTTCGGGTTTTGGATAACCCGGGAGCGTTTTGGCGCCTATTGTGGAAGCTAGCATTTTGGAAGAAATTTCTTAAGTTTGGCTTGAAGCGCATTTTAGTGTTATCGATGTCCGTTTGGGATTCCGAGACTGTGAATAGCTCCGTATGGTGATTCTGGAGTTGCGGTGCGATCGAAAGTGAATTCGGAGGTCCGTAGATCATTTTGGAGCCATTGGGCTAAAGATAGAAATTTGGAGGTTTTGAGAAGTTTGACAGGAAGTGGACTTTTTGATATCGGGGTCGGAATCCGATTCCGAAAGCTGGAGTAGGTCCGTAATGTCAAATATGACTTGTGTGCAAAATTTTAGGTCAATCGGACGTGATTTGATAGGTTTAAACATCAGAAGTAGAAGTTTGAAATTTTGAAGTTCATAAAGCTTGAATCGGGGTGTAATTCATGGTTTTAGCATTGTTCGATATGATTTGAGGCCTCGAGCAAGTCTGTAACGTGTTTTGGGACTGGTTGGTAGGTTTGGTTGAGGTCCCGGGTGCCTCGGGTGGATTCCGGGTGGTTAACGGATTGAAAATGGGATTTTTGGACAACTGAAGGAATCTGGTTGCTGGTATTTTCGCTTCTGCGGTGGGTTGACCGCAGAAGCGGCACCGCAGAAGCGGAAGGGGAGCTGCAGAAGCGGTTTTTGGTCAAGGGCTTGAGGACCGCAGATGCGGTCAAGGTTCCACAGAAGCGGGACCGCATCTGCGGAGAAATGGTCGCAGAAGCGGAAGAGAGTATCTTGGAGGGGATCGCAAATGCGGTCAAGGTTCCGCAGAAGCAAGAAAAGGATGGCTCAGGGAAGACCGCAGATGCGGTATTTTAACCGCACCTGCGGAACCGCAGAAGCGGTCAAGGAACCGCAGTTGCGGAAACAGCTCAGGCAGTGAGATCTTTTAAGTTCGGGGTTGAGTTCATTTCAACCCCATTTTTCTTCCATTGGAGTCGATGGGGAGCAGATTTGAGGTGCCATTTTCGTCACTTGTCATGAGGTAGGTAATTTATGCTAGCTTTGGTTAAATACAAGGTTATTTATGAATTTAGATTTGGAAAAAATTGTAGAAAAAGTGAGGTTTTGGTGGAAAACCTAAAAAATTATATTCTTGGAATTTAGCCACGATTTTGGGTATGAAATTTAGAGAAAATTATATATTTGAGTTCCTAAGGTCATGGGTAATCTTTATCTTCGAAAAATTTCGGATTCCGGGCACGTGGGCCCGAGGGCGTTTTGGTCAACTTTTCGATCGGAGTTAGGAATTGCTATAAATTAGATTGTAAGGAATATTTGAGCATAAATTAACGGATTTGCGTAACCGTTGGCTAGTTTTGGAGCGCGGAGCATCAATTCGAGTCTTCGGAGGGGCGTGGAATGCCGGTTATGGATCTTCGGAGCGAGGTGAGTCTCCTTTCTAACCTTGTAAGAGGGAATTGTCCCCATAGGTGAGTTAATTGGTTATGTGCTCCTATTTGTGGGGGCTACGTACGCACGAGGTGACGAGAGTCGGTGCGTAGCTACTATTATGCTATTATCCGGGTAGTTTAGGACCCAAAAGCATGCTATACTTTGAATATTTGTAATCTTGTGGACAGTTGAATTGCTTAAACCACATCAAATTAGTAAATGAATTTCTAACAAGTTCTAAACCTCATTTTCTTAATTTGTTAAAAGAGAATTTGTTCTTCCTTGAATAATTGCCCCATGTTGGCTTCTTGACTGAATGTCTCTATGTGTTTAGT